TAAGACACCACAGCACCATTTAAATCAAAATATTTGTTTTTCAGCTGAAATATTTCACCAACATGTCAATTTCTACAGAAATTTCATGGGGGTAAAAATTTGGTTTTGTTAACAAAAATTTCCATGGGGTGGAGGGTGGGGGGTGCTTGGGCAGGTTGCTGTTTTCTGACCAGCTGTACTGTTCACTCTTTTTTCCAATATCATATTGAACACTGGTTTTAGCACAGAACTTTGTGGTCCATTGCCCCATTTTGCTGCGTTGGAAATTAGCCATTATTCCTACTTTCTGTTTTCCCTAGCAGTTCATTGCATCTCACCCAATGATGACTGAGTGTATTCATAGCCTCTTGTGAATCAATTTCTTAAAGGATTTATGGAAGTTTATATAAGCTGCTATCATGATCTGTTGGGTTTTTTTATATCAATTAAATTAATTTACCTTGTACTCAAGTAGGCTATACTGGCTTCATTCTCAGGATTGCCCTCAGTGCTCTTTTACTCACACTCACACACACATGCCCTGCTTTCCAGTATGGGAGCTAGCTTTAATATGTTCATATTTTTGTTACTGAGTCACCTCATTCTTAAATTTCTTTAAGAACTCTTGGATGTACAGCAGCTGGTGCTGGTGACTTGTTAATCTTCATCAGTTTGCACATCCCTCTTTTACTTACTTACACACACACACACACACACACCCCATTCTCAACAGTGCCTGGAGTAAGTATCTCCATCTTTTGTGGTAATGACTGATTCCAATGTAATGTTGAACAAGTCACTTCACATGTTTGCATTTGTATCTGTAAAATGGGGATAGTAGTACTTACCTATCCTATGTGTGTTGTGAAGCTTAATATTTGTAAGTGCTTTGTTATTTATTGTTCTCCTTGGTAATCTCGACTTGCTGTTTTACTTTAGACTTTATACCCCACTTTATAATTTAGCATATTGGCCTGCAAAAATTAGCCTAGATTTTTAGACTCTTGTACTATTAGCTTTCTTCCATAATACTATTTTGCAGTGACTCTTCAGTGCTAAGAACCAACCATAGTTGCTCCATGACTCAGGGTTTTAAACTTAAAAAAACAAAAAACCCTACATTTATAGCAGTAACTTTACAGGGAACAGTAAGGTGATGTTTAACCACTTGGTTTAAAGTTTTAGCTTTTACTTACATAGGCTAGACTTCAAGAATTTAGTAGTTCGGGTTTTTCTAGTATATTTTGACTGTTAACTCTTATGTATTGACTGGTAAGTGTAGACCCCTTTGTTCAGCTATTTTACAACAATGAAAAGAGAATATTAACCAAGTATTACTGGATGCTCTCTCTCTTTTTCAGAATCAGGAGCAGCTTAGAGAGGAGGATTCAGATTTTATTCTGAATGATGGTGACCTCACTCTGACATATGGTGATACGACAATAACTGCTAATGGCTCTTCTGGCTCCCGCACTGCTACCACTAGCCTCGATGGCAGGAAAACAAAAAGTAGTTCAGAGGAGGCATTGGAACACGATCTGGGAATGGGAGATAATGAAGTTACAAGCAGGGGCACCCGACTAGTATTTCCTTTGGAAGACAATGCATGACTACTGCCTCAGTAAAAATACAGCTATAGCTGTGGATGGATCAAGGAAGACTGCAGGCCCTAGTGTCACCTGAGGTGGGAATGCTTAGTGAATTGAACTAACCTGTTTATAAGTGGTTTTACTAAAGTCTGAAGACACCAACCTTGACTTTTTTTTTTTTTACTCAAGATGCTGACAGTGGGTTTTTAAATGTCTAAACTAGAGAAATGGGAAAATTGGTCAGTCTCTTCTCACAAAATTGCATACTGAATCTAAGTAGAATTAGCATGCTGCAATTCTCTCTCATTCAGTTGCAGCACCTTTCTGAGAAGAGGTATGTGAAAATGTTACCCAGCAGAACCAAGCTAATTCAGGCTGGGTGGAGTTCTAGCTTGGTTTGGGAGTGAGGGAGGGGAAACCCAAACAAAAGTCTAATTATTCTGAGACTTAAAGGTATGGGTGCATGTCTGATTTTCGGGCGGTCCAGTGTTAAATTGCTCTCTAGAAAACTTGAAACTATGTATAAAAGGGAACAGTATGTACTAGGAGTACAGGTGCATGAATGCAACACTTTTCTGGGATTTGTTACTATGACAAACTGCACTGAATTACTTCAGGAAAAAGGGAAAACAGCACAACTTCCTCACTGGCAACATATAGTAGGTACAGTTTAGAATAATTCAGTATTTAAATAGGGAGGCAGTGAATGTTGTTTAGTCCCTTAGCTTTGGACAACTTGAGTATTACTGTTCGCATATCTTCTAGCACATCACAAGAGAAAACTTCTTCGTGTCCAAGACTGAAATGAATGACTCAAGCCCTTATCTAGGCTTAGATTTAAAAAACCACTTGTTCTCTCATTAGGTTGTTAAAAATCAGATGAAGGAAGCCAGAACCCAATTTTTTTCATGGAGATAGAGCAGATAGTGATATTGCTTACAGTGCAGCTAGAAAACAGTATTGAACATATATGAAACCAAAAGGTTCCATATTATGATGGGAAGTATGCCTGGAATCTGCTTTGATTGCCTGTTAGCTGTGATGGTTTAAACTGCAAATGTTTTTATTTCAAAAGGGAAAGATACTATAAATTTAACCATTTGTGGTTATTACATCTGAAGAAAGGTGTTTATATTCATTCTCTCTTGCAGAGTACATGTGAACTTTCAGCAAGGCACTGCACAATATGTAAACTGTGCAAGTGGCCTACACACTCTAGTCCCATCTGAAATGTGAAAAGGGAAAAATGTCTTTGCTTAGTACTTGGCCCATGTTCATGTAAACTTGCTTTAACTTATTGCTTAAGGCTTTTTAATTCCCAGCTCAGTAGCTATAAGTGACCTCTTGCGTATTAAAGCAAATAGTTGAAATCTATTACCTCCTAAACAGAAGCTCAGCTACTGAAAGCATGCTTTAAAATGATGTAAAGTTATACTTTAATGGCTCAAAATGGTTTAGAAAATGTTATTTTTTAAACTGGCATTTTGTGGCCCACTATTAAAATGTAATGTAATATCAGTTTGCTAAAGTGCTTTTTTTTTTACTTGCCACTTCAGTTTGTTCCTTTCCCATAAAATTTATATATGAATAAAAATCCATTCTGGTTTTTCCTTAAGTGACCAGTTCAACTAAACAATGGGCTAACTTTAAAATTACGAGTTCCAACTGCACAGCAGCACTTAGTTTCGTTTATTTTAAATACAGTGATCTACCTCCTACTTCTTCCCTCTTAAAGACAAAATATTGATCTGTCTGAAAGAATCAAATTAATGACTGCATCATGGGGCAAGGCAGTAAAAGATTTCTAAAGCTAGACCTGCCACTTCTGTGGTGGAATTGGAAAGGTCGCAGTGTCCATCTGCTCCCTTCTTGAGTAGTTCAGAGATGAAAAGTTCAAGCATCCTGCTGACAGCACTTCAAGCAACAGACCACGTAAACTGTCTGGCACTCTGCTCCCAGGATTAGAATGGATAGCATCGTGTGTGAGCACTCACTATCTCTGCTATTCCAGGACTTGCTTCTTAAATACTAACATGGAGGAAATTGCTTCTTCTGGAGTGATGAAAATGATGAAGTTTACTCTTGATAACTTTAACTCTGTAGAGCCCGCTGAATTCCACATTTGGAGTGATAAATCCTAATAATGTCAGACTTTTCCTTTTGTAAAAACTTAAATCATTAGCCAACCTCAAGTGGTGCAAACTGCTTTTCAGATTTTTAGAGAGCAGAACCTGTCCAAATCAGATGGACTTGCCCATCTCTGGAGTCAGACAAACCTTTATATGCAATTCAAGACAGGCTAAAAGCTGTCAAAGACTATTAGAGAGACAAGGTGGGTGAGGTAATATCTTTTATTGAACCAGCTTCAACAAACTTGCCTCTCCCACCAACAGAAGTTGGTCCAGTAAAAGATATTGCCTCACCCACCTTGTATCTCTAGTATCCTGGGACCTACAATGCTACAACACCACTGCATACAAGAAAAACTACATTGACTCAAAGCATTTAGGAATAAGTATCATATTATCTCTCAAAAATGCTATAACGAAGTGCCAGAGACAGAGACTTTTCAAAATTACCATTTTCTACTGCAAGACTCGCTCCAAGTTTTAGCACATCCTGTACCAGAATGCTTCCAATAGCAGAGTTAAGACTGAGCATACTTAAAATGGAGTTAAATCTGAAATGCTAACCCTGAAAGAGGGCCTAGTACCTTTCCTCTTAGTGTTTCATTCCTTAGCCCTTAACTGTAAAAACTAATGTAAAATCATCTTGCAGCAAAGTTGTCTAGTACAGAGTTATCTGAATGTCAGACTGAGGGATAACTTCATTATGCGCCCTTAAAAGGAAAGGGTCTTTAATTATAAGTTTTATGCTTTAAAATAGTGGTTCTCAATCGGGTACATATACCCCAGGGGGTATGCAGAGATCTTCCAGGGGGTACATCAACTCTTCTAGATATTTCCCTAGTTTAGAACAGGCTACATAAAAAGCACTAGCGAAGTCAGTACAAATGAAAATTTCATACAGAAAATGACTGGTTTATACTTCTCTATATAATATATACTAAAATGTAAGTACAATATTTATATTCCAATTGATTTTATAATTGTATGGTAAAAATGAGAGAGCAATTTTTCAGTAAGTGTACTGTGACACTTGTATTTTTATGTTTGATTTTTGTAAGCAAGTAGTTTAAGTGAGGTGAGACTTGAGGCTATGCAAGACAAATCAACTTCCTGAAAGAGGTACAGTAGTCTGAAAGGGTTGAGAGCCACTGCTTTAAAACAATGAAATGAACAGGCGTCTTTCACTTTATCAGTTTTGACTTCAACCTTTCTTCCCAATTTAGACTTCAGAATGAATCAAAGCTAAATGAACTAACAGTACCAACCACTTGTTACTATAGAAATCATTAACTGTTACAGAAAGTTACCCTTTAATAAGATTTCTTTATTAAAAACTCACAAGAAACATCTAATCTTTAGCATGGCATGTTTTCAGCTGGTGCTCAGATTTTTTCCTTCTCCTTTGTGGTTCATGTGCTCTTCCACTTTACCTTGTACTGAAATTTTGCTCTAAATGTGAAAATCCTTTTCATGGAACAGTGTGATAAATTTTAACTTCATGCCAGTACTGAAGCTGGGTTGTTAGGCTAGAGCTTGACTTAGACATACAAATAGATGTGGTAACAAAACTATGGAAAGTTACTGAAATTCCTATATTTTTCCCCCTCAAGCTTGCTCTGAGTCTCTGAATGGAAATCATAGTTTAAGACTGTGATGAGCAATAAGGCAACCCCTATACATTAGTATCTTAGTCAGATCAGAGTGAAATTTAAGAGATGGTCTTCCTGCTAACCGGTGTGAGTTGCTGAGTCAGACAGCCTACAGTATGTAAGATCACTTCATTGGCTGATACCTGTATCAAAGCTGTGACTGACATCTGCCTGTGCATTATGCCATCACAGCAGTAGTGTAATGTTAAGATATTAATGTCAATTCAATATTTAAACTATGGCTTACCAAAAGTCTGTGTACCCTGTGGTTCAAGGAATGGGCTATGGAATTTGCTTAAGAACTGAGTGTACTGACAAAAACTGCTTCACCTCTCTAGCCATTAAAACAAAATTATGTTTAGTACTTTGAGCCAGCATGAGCTTTGTCCCAAATGAGAGTGATAAAGTTAAGACTATAATCGTCTAACACGCCACAGAAGCTAGTGTACCAATTGTGTTTGGAAAGCTGTTTTGCAGCTACTTAAAGATTTTTTTATACAGGATGTTAACATTCATTCAATCCTGGAAAAGCCATTGTAGTACAATTACCCAATCATAGTACCTGAACCGTCTCAGAACACAGCTAACCCTTCCTTGGTGCGCTCATGTGTCTGCTGAAAAATTATGGAAGTGCTTTCAGTGGGGTCATGTAGAAGGATGTTAAAAAAAAATCAAACTTTTAATATGACTATGCCCGTTTCTTTGCCCCAGTGCTAGTAGATGTGAAACTAATTTGTTGACACTCCTGCACAAAAAAACAATCTTTTCTCTCTCTCCTCCACAACTACCTCTTACTGCTATGTACGTCACTTACCAGTGGAATTTATATATGTGGATTACATGCAAACAAAATCTGTTAAGATCATTAAAGTTGCAAAGACAAGCTCTTGTGAAAAGAAATGCTACAATTAAGGTTCCTGTGACCTTAATTTGACCCCCCTTGTGTGTATGCATTGCTAGTTTAATTATGATCACTTTTTTCTATGGGACCTGTCTCATTCAGTGCACTCAGTATTTTATTTTATCCACATTGTAGAGTGTGTGGCCCTATGTCTGATTTAGTGCACACTATTGAACCTGGCTCTGAGGACCAAAAAAAAAAAAATTCCTCATAGGCTTTTCTATGGCACTTATTGCTAGAATGAGTGTGTCACAAGCTGAGCACATTAGATATTAACTCAGTTTCACAGATCGTGGTTACTTAAAATCTCAGTTTTCCCCCATTGTGGGTGCCTAGCTTGACACCCATAACCTGATATGTCAGAGTACTTCCTATTATATTAGCACTTTATTGTTCAAAGCACAGCTCCCCTTAACTGACTTCACACAGGTGTGAGTGCTTCCAGCTGCATGCTGCCTGCGTACTAGCAGAGGGGTCACAGAGTACAGGAAAGACAGATTTCCCCCAGTTCCAGTGCCTAGTCTAGAACAGGCAGAAGCAGCAGTTACAAGGAAATATCTGCCTTTGCCATGTAGTGTGAGGGGGAGGGAGCATGCTTTGTGGGGATGGCCCAGGCAGAGCCTGGTCGTCAACACTAGGGGCTGTGAGAGGCTCAAACATGCTAAGCAAGGAGAGAATCTTTAAAATTTTAGCTGCTAAAATCAAGTATGAGCATGTGCTAACTGCCATTTTTGAAAGGTGGATATATAACTTGGCCACCTTTGGACTAACTTTCATGGGGATGGTAAAAGGCACAGCCCAATTTAAAGTCCTTGCTTCACAGGATGGGGCCTCTAATTTTTCCAAGAGGTCATTGGAATTTTGAATAGCGAAAAATGTATTTTTCCCCCCCTAACGTCATTCTCTAAAACAGCTGAACCATCTTGGTGAAATTTTCTAAAAAGATTTCAAGCTGAGGTAGATGCCCAGCATGGAACATTTTAGCCTACATGCTTACTGTTTGGCAAAAAATAGCAATTGAAAACAGGGTCTTATAATGGGAAGTGTTGAGTAACCTTAATAGGTGGTGCTACCAGCTCTAGCTATAACCACAACAGGGCCCAGTTCTGTAAGCTTACACATGCACATAGCCCCATTGAAATGAGTGGGGGTTGAAGGACTTGGTCCTTCTACATAATTTCAGTTTAACAAAACCTGCAATCTTTCTTCAGACACTAATGATCAGAGAAGTAGTTATTCACTTAAAAAAATTCAGCATCTTGGTTACAGGAGGCTGATTCTGCACAGTAAACCTGAACACTACACTCATTCTAATGCCCTTCAGAGAAAGGTTCAGTGTTGCCTTTTGAAACTTTTGTTTTGAAGTTGTAACTCACCACTAATAACTTGCTCCAACTCCATTTTGGCAGAGTTCCTGCTTCTGCACATGAGTGAATGGAATTTAGTGCTTAAATAAAAAAAAAAGGTTAAAGCATGAGACGTTACGCTTGTAAGATAGGAAAAAGGCCTGTCAGAGTAAAATCAGTATTCAATGAGTCATCTAGTAGCCAGTGGGAGTAATACCCTTCATGTATATGGACTAAAGTCCCAGAGAACAGAAAGAAGAGGGTGGGAGGGGGAATCCAAGGAAGCCAGTATCACATCTTAGAAAGATCCAGTTCAAACTTCAGGGGAGTGAAGCAGACCAGAACAGCTCAGTAACAAGAGCATGGTTCTCATATATCCAGTATGCGTTGTAGGGCCAGAGGACATTTAGAAAGAGGATTTGTTCTTGTATTTGAAAATACTGTTTTAGTAAGACAGGTTTGCAATATGATGTAGCTTAATAGCCTTTCATTGTATTGTAAGTTTTAAGCTTCTGGAAGAAAGTTTAAGACTCCATCTGATAAAAATCCAAATCCCTCTAAGGTGGGTTTTTTATGACATTTTGTAAAATAAGATAAGAAAAAATAAGCCTACATACCAAGAGGGAAAATTTGAAGGAACTGGTAAATTACAAAGCCAAAGAAATGGCTTAGACATGCAGTTTTAATACAGAAATACTGCTGGAAACAGTCATGCTGTGCTTAAAGCTGAAGTCCTAAATTCAGCAGAATTGCCATTGAACTTCAATACATTTTTTGCCAGGGGAAGGACTGCAGGATCCAAAATACATTAGGGGACAATATGAGGAATTTACTTTCAGTAACAATTCTTCCCCTTCCACCACTTGACGTAAGAAATAAAATAGAAAAAATTTAAACTTCCAACAGTGGCTCACGCATACATGTCAGGGTTGGGAAAGTGGCTTTAATTACACTGCAGATTGTTTCTGAAGAGGTCAAAGAACAGCTGCCCAAAGCTACATAAACCAAACTCTTAACGAAGTCAGTATTTACTATGGAATGACGACTTCTGATTTGCTAATCTTAGTCTGGTGAGTGTGCATCCATTTACGGAATCTCAAAACACTGCTGCGCATACACACAGTGCACATCAAGGCTGGCCACATTTGAATCCATATTGCATGCCACCAGGCTGTTTCCTCTGCAAGTTACTCTATTTGATCTACTGATTTAGTAATCTATACTGATGTCACTGAGCACTAACGTTTGTTACAACCAAAATCATGATTGAGAGTGACTCCTGTGCACAAGCATCTAGGCACAAAAGGACAGTCCATAGTATGCTGTCAGGCTAATCCTTTTTAACATTTCTTGTCTATTACCACCACTTAAGATTTTAAAAGTCTACTGGTAAATTACTGTTCTGTTGGAAGTTCAGCTAGAGTGACTGAAGCCTAGTCTGCACTTTGCTGATACAGCTGTACAGATTCAGTGACTGAAATAAGCTAGAACAGCAAAAGCATTTATGCCGATACAACTGTCTACACTAAGGCTTTTGCAGGCATGGAAATGTCACAAAAAATCTACAGCCTTAACAGGCGCTGCTATGCAGGTAAACATTTCTAATCTAGACTTGGCCTGCTTGTCCAAACAGAGAGAAATGCAAATGTCCATTTCAGATTTGCATTCCATAACAAAGCTGCAATGAAAGGATTTCCAGCCGCATAGGGAATAGCTAATTCATCAGCTTTCTATGGGAATTCTATTCTATTAGTCCTAGCTTTTGTAAAACAAGCTCTTTATAAAACTTAAATCTGGAGCCAAATTAAACCCCAGATCACATTGAATAACTGCCCCATAGCTTTAGCATTCTTTTAAAAGGTTTATACAGTACATTAACAACAAGCATTGTGAAATCCCAGCTCTCAGCACCAAAGGGTTATTTAAGGTATGAGTTATAGGCAAACTTGAAGTGGATTTTAGCTTGGCATTTCAGTAAGAGCTCAACACAACACAAGAACCTCAGCTATGCCAACTGACACCAGTTATCAGCCCTGAACCTTTTTTCCCTCCCAACCAAACAGAGGTTTCTGTGCAGTTTCTTGTAAGAGTATGGTGTGGTGTTACTGTGCTTTCTGTGGATTAGGTGTCACTGCAGTAGAAATGGAAGCAGCACTTCAACTGTTTCCCCACTCCCCACCCCCAAGGGAAAGTTTGTATAATCAAATTCACAATTTATTATATAATTTACTGTAGTCAGAACTCTAAAAACACAGTCCTGGTATTAGGATAAAATAATTCCCAGTTACAGGGTGGGGAAGCAGAGCACTTAAAAAAAACCTCACCACCTAGATCCATGAAAGTTTTGCTACAATACTGAAGTGTAAAATACTACGTTTGCAAATA